ATGGCATACTTTGAGTTTCAATTTCTCATTCACTCGAGTATCATTTTTGACAAGTAAGTATATGATTTCGATGTACTCACGGAGGAGAACACAAATCAACTTTCATCTTTCAAAATAGTCAAGCGAGTCCCGCTCAAAATTAGTGCCAAAGTCAGCCATTTTTCCAGTTTTTCCAACATACCTTAATTATAACCTAAAGCTTAAATCAACTTCTTTTATTCCGTAAATAGTAACTTACATTAGTAAAATGAAAAAAAAAAAAAAGTTTCGCTTAGGAACAAAAATTCCATAATCATCCATCTTTCCTTATACGAGACTTTTCTCGTTTCACTCAAAATTAGAGACTAATTCGTCTTCATTTCCATTTCCATTTTTATTTTCTACTTTTATGTTTCTAGTTCTACCCTTCAAAACCCTTACACCTGAAGGGAAAATCTCATTGTCTCTGTTGATTTTATCGTGCAATTCATCATTGTTTCGACGTAGAAAATTTTCTTTTAGTTTGCATCTTCACGACAAGTCTATTTCACCAAGTCTCACTCCGAGACAGTGTCCATATCGTTATACCTTTCGTACAGGTCGAAACTTACCCTATAAGGACATATTTTGTCGAGTTCACTATTTGGGAGGATTTTCTGGAGAAGTAATCAAGAGGCAGAATAGTGCATTCAAGATCGAAAGAAGTTTATGATCGCAACATATAATTTGTTATTTCATTCTTGCAGTCAAATATTGTGTAAATGCAAATTGTAGCCATCATACAACTTCATTTTTCCCCATCCAAAATCACTAATTACTTCGGGGTATATAATAATTGGAATCATTTGGGTTCATATAATTACTAGAGCCAAAACAAACATGTCGATTCCAATTTTGATTTTACTCATAATATTTTTTTTAAAAATATCGCAAGTTGACCATACAAATTATCTCCCTAATATCTAGAGTAAAATAGAAGAAATACAATCTACCAAATACATATTTCAACCCTTTCTTAATCCGCTACAATTATGCCACCAAATAGCATCCAATATGAGCATAAATAAGTCAACAACTAGAAATCAACAATAAGGAAGTACTAGAACATATAACTTTAAGTGGCAAAAATGGATGAAAAAATCCAAATGGACTTTTTGCGCACAAATCATGAGGTTGAGGGGGTCAGCGCCAAGAATATAAAGTTACAGGCCATTAGCGCATAAGGGTCATTGATTAGTAACCATTTCTGTCAATTTCCCACCCTTAAAATCAGCAAATATTAGAAGAGCAGGGAGCAAAGTAATATGAGAGCAGTAAGCGGAGTGACAGCACCCTACAGCCAGTCACGGTATTCTAGCTCAAACACAGTCTCAACAGGCATCAACAAAATGCCAGACATTCGGCCCAGGCTGT